ACTTTAACAAAGAGAATGTTTTAAACTCTAGTCTACCTAGTAAAAATATCACAATTACAGTTGTGGTTTTAGTCATATGTAATAATAAAACAGGTTAATATGTGACAACCAGCTCTCCAAATGTACACTTTTTACAAATTAACAGTTCTTAAGACTTAAACATGGCACAACTTTTATGTTCCATTAAGATTTTTGGTCAAATGAATTCCGAGATGTTAGAAACAACACCAAGTGTTGGTTACATGCAATTGGTTGATTTTACACTAGATAAAGCACAGCTTCAAACTCTGATTGTGTTAATTTATCAAAATCCGACTCTATAATGTCAACACTTTACTTTGAAATGCTTCAAGATCGAGAATTTAACACTGACGAAGCAAGAAGGTCGCTGGTTCAAGCCCTGACTGGGCCAGTTGGCATTTCTATGTGGAGTTTGCATGTTCTCCCCATGTTTTCGTGGGCTTCCCCCACAGTCAAAAGGCATGCGCTGTAGGTGAATTGAAATAACTAAAGTGGCCATAGCATATGTGTAAATGAGTATGCATGGGTGTTTCCTAGTACTGGGTTGCAGCTGAAAGGGCATCTGCTGTGTAAGACGTCTGCTGGATAAGTTGTCGGTTCATTCCGCTGTGGTGACCCCTGATGAGTGAAGGGACTAAGCTGAAGTAAAATGAGTGACTGAATGAATGAATGAATGAATGAATGAATGAATGAATGAAGGGAGTTGTGAGATTGTGTGTAATTTAATGAATGGCACTCAGTTGTAATGTGAAATCAGTGTTTTTGAGCAGCTTGTTGAAATAATGAACCAATTTTCATTTTTCACACTGGAAAGGAAGTTGGGTGCCATTACATAGTGTGCTACAGTTTCTTATGCATTCTGAAAATTCACAGAAATGTTTGATGAGTGCACCGTACCATACATTACCAATATTTGAGCAACATTCTTTGGTAAAGTCTGACGCCTAGTGGTTAAATGTGGTATTACACGGTAAAGTCATGTTTAATCATTGTGTCAGACACTTTCCTTCTCCAAACAGAACATGTTGAAACAGAAAAGCAAACAAAATAAGTTCTGTCAGTATAATGAAACATTAACTTTAAGAAGATTCATTGCTAATGTTAAGTAAAGATCCTGTTGGCTTCACATGAGTGGCTTTCCGTTTGTTATCGCTACAATAATGAAGAGACAACAGAATTGAAATAATTTTTTTTTCTTTTAATATGCTGCATAAACATACATTTCTGATTTTTTTGAACACAAAATGAGTGCATTTTATCCCATTTTACTTCTCGTTCTGCTTTTTAAAGATATGATTATGAACATGAAGCTTCAATCAAGCATTTGGTGGGTCGTAATATTTACTGTTATGTAAATTTACTGGAAATGTGGCACGCATGTAATAAATATGGGTCAAAGATAGAAACTGGTTTTTACCCTAGAATCTAGACTGTATATGCCAAGTTCAGCGGCTAATCGGCTGAGGTGAAATGGCGGCGACCAGCGAGACCTAGCTGTCACTCAAGTGGCCACGCCCTTAATTATGCAGACTTAATAAAGCTTAATATACACAAAACAGATAAGTTAAGAAAAAATGAACTCCCTCACAGTTGTCATGAAGTGTAATATTAGCTATATGAACCAAAAACATCTTTTGTACAAGTCTGTAAACATGTTTTAATCAGCTGTAAAAATGGAAAAATTTACAATTGCAGTCAGTGAACATCTGGAGTTTCTGAAGCCAGCCCCCAAAGGCCAGTCGATGAATTGCAGTTTCAGTTATTCCGTATTGGCTTCATGAGGGAAAGCAGGAGTTTGCCACTTGGCTTTCAAGCATCAAAACAATAAAAATAAAAGACACACTTACACATTTTGCCCTATGAATTATTAGATTGTGTTCTGTTTAATTTATTATTTTAACCTGATTTAATATGATATAGCCACTAAAATGTAATTCAGTTTAACAATCAATCAGTTCATTTAGCAAAAAATAATATACTACAATTTTGTGGTCATGTAATATTTTATATTAATACAGTGTGAAACCCAACAATCAACTTTATCAAATTAAATGAGCGTAGTCAACTCAGAATTGACTGAAAGTTAATTTTACTCATTTTGAACTCAGTGTTGAAGTTAATGAGTTAATTAAACACCTCATTACTTCAACTTAAATGGAGTAAGTTCACAGTACTCATATTAGTTTTGTATCTCAAATGGTTTGTAGCAATCGGTTTCTTCAAATGCTTTGAGCTGCCTTAACCTATTGGGTTTTAGTAGTCAGTTGGTTTGAGTTCTCTTCATTGACTGTGCTCATATTGCTTTGTTTACTCAAATGGATTAAGTTCACAGTACTCATTAGGATTTGAACTTAAATGGTTTGTTGCAATCGGTTTCTTTAAATGGTTTGAGTTACCTTAACTTTTTGGGTTTTGTAGTATATGTATGTGTTTTAATGAGCACAGGTCAGAAATCAGAATAGATTCATTCATTCATTCATTTTCTTGTCGGCTTAGTCCCTTTATTAATCCAGGGTCGCCACAGTGGAATGAACTGCCAACTTAAGTTTTAACGCAGCGGATGCCCTACCAGCTGCAACCCATCTCTGGGAAAAATCAGAATAAATGTTGCTTGATTTTAACATACAGTTATTAGCTCATCTGTGAAATTTAAAAGTAATGTTTGACAGAGCAGGGCTATTTTTACAGTATGTACTATAGTAATTAGTTTTTCTTTTAGAGAAAGTCTGATTTCTTTTAGTTTGGCTGCAATTAAAGCTGTTTTTTTTATTTTAAAAGTTCCAATTTAAGGTTGCTGTTATTAGCCCCCTTTTTGATTCACTACCGAACAAACCACTGTTGTCCACGACTTGCATAAGTAACCTAATTAAGCAATTAAACAGTACTTTAAGCTGAATACTAGTATCCTGCAAAATAACTAGTAAAATATTATGTACTGTCATCATGGCAAAGGCAAAAGAATTATTATTAGGAATTATATTAGAAAATAATTGTTAAAATTATGGCTGCATGGTGGCTCAGTGGTTAGCACTGTCAACTCACAGCAAGAAGGTCGCTGGTTTGAGTCCAGGCTGTATTTCGGTTTGCATGTTCTCCCTGTGTTCGCGTGGGCTTACTCCGGGTGCTCCGGTTTCCCCCACAGTGCAAAGTCATGCGCTATAGGTGAATTGGATGAACGAAATTGGCCATAGAGTATGAGTGTGTGTGAATGTGAGACCGTACGGGTGTTTCCCAGTACTGGGCTGCAGCTGGAAGGGCATCAGCCGCATAAAACATATGCTGGAATAGTTGGTGGTTCATTCAACTGTGGTGACCTCTGATAAATAAGGGACTAAGTCGAATGTTTAAAAAAATGTGTTGGAAAATAATCTGTTAATCAATACTTGTTAATAAAATCTCACTGAGGATCTAATAATTACATATTAATTGATATTGTTTATCCACAAGATGGCGACAGAGACCACATAATAAGCCCTTATAGAAGGAAAAACTTTATAAATAAACAGGTAAATGACTTTTTAAGTCGATCTCTCTCTTTGTTTTATGCTTTAGAGCTGTATTTATACCATAGTAATTGTAGTGTGTTGAGTGTGAGATGGGACCCTCATATCTAGGGGTCTCCTGTTTTTGTTCCTGCAGACTAGTGCAGTAAACAAAAAAGAAAGAAATGCCTGCATGCGTTTAGCATTTTTCCTTATCACACACACAACAGCAATCTGGTGCATGATGTTTCTGCATGTGTTTCTCCTCATCTGTGGTGAGTTTTACACTTTTATCATTTTTGCAAAGCCACAGAGCTTGAGTTGCTTTGGCTTTTTCAGGGTTAATTAATTAATGGCTCTTGCTGTTCTGACATCAGCTACAGATATGAATGAATGGCGGAAGAAAGTAGTTCCTCATACAAAAGGGTTTTGAAACTCTCCGTGTTTGATTTCTTTTTTTTTTATATACACGGTTATTTCGTTGAACTGTTGTATAAACACAATATCACACTCATAGCAGTGCAATGTGGCTGTATATTGTCACTGATGGGACACTAAGGCACTCGGCCTGCAGCCTCGAGCCAACACATGCTTCCCACTAGTGGCGATAAAAAGCCATATCACAATGCTACGAGTGTAATATTCCTCATTTATCATAGATATGAAATACATCATATCTATTACTCTCAATAATTACATGTATGAAAAAAACTCTAAATGCCATCTAAACCTTCCTTCTAAAATGAGCATTGTTCTCAGGCTCTTGTGGGTAGGTTTATTAAATTCACTTTAATGTTGATGAATAAGGTATTTTTATCGCCTCTAAAGTGAAATAATTGAGCATAAACACAGCAGGTTGAGAAAAATGCTAGTTTTTGAAGGAAATAATTTTAGATTGCATTTAGAGGTTTTTAGATCTGAACTCTTCATTTATACAGTTGAATTATTAGCCCCCCTGTTTATCCCCCCCCAATTTCTGTTTAACAGAGAGCAGATTTGTTCAACACTTTTCTAATCAAAACAGTTTTGATGACTCATCTCTAATAACTGATTTATTTTATCTTTGCCATGATGACAGTGAATAATATTTGACTAGATATTTTTAAAGACACTTCTATACAGCTTAAAGTGACATTTAAAGGCTTAACTAGGTTAATTAGGTTAACTAGACAGATTAGGGTAATTAGGCAAGTTACTGTATAATGATGGTTTGTTCTGCAGACTATAGAAAAAAAAATATTTAAAGGGGTTAATAATTTTGACCTTAAAATGGTTTTTAAAAAAAAACAATAACTGCTTTTATTCTAGCCGAAATAAAACAAATAGGACTTAATCCAGAAGAAAAAATATTATCAGACATAATGTGAAAATGTCCTTGCTCTGTTAAACATAATTTGGGAAATATTTTAAAAAGAAGGGGGAAAAAAAAAATCAAAGGGGGGCTAAAACGTCTGACTTGCACTATATATTACACTTTGAATAATAAATGGAAAATTATTTCACTATAATTGCATTTTATTTTGGCAAAAGTATTTGAAACAAAGTGGGCACAATCTGCTTACAACAAATTTAATTTGACTGGATTTGGTCACCAACATTTCTTTCACCCATTTTATTTAAAAAGAATGAAATAGCATTAAAATATTGTAGAAATACATAGAAATATATTAATTAAATTTGATAATGTATGCATTTGATCAGACAGTTGGCACTTTTAGAGATAGTATAGTGTTATTCAAGTCAATAGAGGAAGCAAAAAAGACAAGAAAATAACATTTATGATATGTGACTTTGAGGGAAATTTTTTTTTAAATATCTATAAATAAAACAATAAACTGCACTGCTGACTTTTCATCAGCAAAACACATTTCCTTCACTATAAAAGTCATGTGAAGAACTTCTTGAAATGCATTGTGAAACAATCATCTAAAAGTCCTTACCAAAACTGCAGCATCTTCTGCGCTTGTAAAAAAAAAAAAAAAAAAAACACCAGTTCCTCTAAAAATAAAAAGAGCAAACTGAAATACTCATTATTCAGAAATCACGTGAAATCAGAAGTCAGTCAGCATGATTTCCTCAGGCATCTTCAGTTTTCACACACAAAGAATAATAATAAGAGTGTCTTTTAGGCCAGAAAACACAGAGCAGCTATTATGAGATATATTATTACACATGCTCCTAAGAAGAGCTCAGTTCCTCTAAAAAAATGAAATAAAAATCTGAAGTACTCAGTATTTCTGAAATCACCTGAAATCAGCCTGCATGATTTCCTCTGGTGGTTCAGCCCAGAAAACACAGAGCAGCCATGATTGAAAATCCACACAGGAGGAATAAGACTTTGAGCAGCGGCCGCTCCGATGAGTTTAGCTCATGGGGAAGGATCTCCAGGAAGGTGATGTAGATAAACGTACCGGCCGCCAGTCCCTCCAGCACCGCCTGGATTAAACCCCCGGCCTGCCGCTCCGTCTCGATGACCACAATCCCGATGCCGATGCCAAGAGGAGACATTATGGCGAAGACGGTCACGTACAGCACCACCCATAAAGGCTTGACGGCGCTCTGAACCAGCTTCACCGACAGACTGAACACGATGATGCTCTTGTGGACCAGGATGGCGATGCAGATCTCTAACACCTGCGCAGATACATCAGCAGAGGAAGTCAAACTTATGCTGTAGGTCAGTTATATTTCATTTTAGTCACTGTTTTTGTAATGCTTCATTTAACCCTTGTGTATTGTTCAAACTGACTACCCTTTCATTATGTTTAGGGCTGTTTTTATCCCATTGGTGTCCATTAAAACCACAATTTTAGATTTGAGTCTTAATTTGGCCACAGCTTTCTCTGTGTTTCAGCAAATGGAATGATTTTTGGGGACAAATCTTATTTTTGTGCTATATTTTATGCTTTTAATTTTTTCAAAAATTCAACAATACACTCATGCAAATGTACTACTCTATCATTTTGTTCAGGGCTGTTTTTGCCCCATTGACCTCTGTTGTAACTAAATTTTTTGATTGCAAAGCCCTGACACAGAATAATCATGCATTCTTAATTGTTGGTGGTTTTCCTATTGGGAAAGGGTCAAATGAATCATTTTTACTGTTGACCATCAGTTGGCACCATTTCCCCTTTAGACAGGCCTGTGCAAAACAGTTTCTGGTTTTATATGGCGTTCTGGGGAGTAAAGCAGCAGATTATGGTGTGAATAAATACACTATATACAGTTTACTATGTTCTAAGAGCTGAGCTGCTTATTTTTTTTTTTCTCAAATATATATATATATATATACATACATACATACATACATACATACATACATACATACATACATACATACATACATACATACATACATACATACATACATACATACATACATACATACATACATACATACATATATATATATATATAAACATATATAATATAATTTTTTATATTGCATTTTAAATAACTTTTTTTGTCATAAAATGACAGATTGATGTTTTATCAAATCATGCAGCCATATTTTCTAGGATCTAAATTTATATTTTCCGATTTAATAATATCATATGGGTTTGGAACAAAACGAGGGTGAGTAATTCTGAACTAATTTCATTTTTCATTAGCTCTTAAGGTTTTTTAGTAAAGTCTAGCTTTACTAACAGATTGCACTACAACAAACTGTCTTTTGCTATTAAGTAAGTAAGTATAAGTAAATAAATAAATAAAGCTACTGTCAAGATTGACTAAAGACACGCAGTGAAACATTAGTGATTTTTGCATCTGATTTTGCTTTATATGCATCAGTAACAGTTTTCCTTTCAGACGCCAAACTTACAGGAACCGAGAATTTATATAAGGAAACTGTTGCGCTGTTGAATTACTATTCTTATATATAACTATTCTTGCCAACACTTAACGTCCTATCTATTGTAGATTGCATTTGTCATTATGAAAAGAGCTGCTTCGTCTTTGTCGTGTTCTCTAATTAGCATTTTCATTAGAATCACTTTTCACTAGGACTGTGTTCAGTAAATCTGACCTGGAATATTTTGTATTGTCAGTGGAATGCCAACGCTACATATTTCAGGTCAGATTTATTGAATCAGATTAATTTTAGAAACTATTTCTATTTCTGCAACACAGCGGCTGAAACAAGAGTATGAATTACGATGACAATAGCTACACTGTAAAAAATGCTGTGTTACACACAATTTGTGTTGGGACAACATGAAGGGATGAAGTTATTATTAGTTTTTACATATTTAAGTCGATTGAACATAAAAGTATTAAGTTGTCCCTAAAAAAATTGTGTTGTTCCAGCTCATTTTAAATAAGTAGTTTGACCATACAGCAAACATAGTTTTTTTTTTTAATTGTTTTTTAAAATTTAAGTGGATTGGACATAAAACAAATAAGTTGTCCCCCCTGCCCAAAAAACGTAAAAAAAATTTTATTTTAGCCCATTTTAAATAAGTAGTTTGAACAAACATCATTTTTTGAGTGTATAGCTGTCTCATTTCAGAGGCTGCATCCTCAGAAGGATTCATTCAAAGGGCACTGCGTCATCGTGGCGTGATGAAGGCTGTCTCAAAAAAATTCAAAGGCTACAAGTGGAGCCTCAAAATGCGTTCTTCGTTTCTCAGGTAATAAAGGATACAACCGGTGGATCCTTCACAGCCTCGAACATCCCACAATCCATTGCGAGCTGATGACGGCAGGAATTAAAAAAAAAAACTCCAGATTAAATGTATGAATTAGGTTCTATTTTACTTGGATATCTAAACACATGTTAAAAACAAAAAGACTTTGAAATGTCTTACTAAAAAGCAATAAATCACGTGGTTGTTTGTGGCTTCAGCCACTGTTAAAACTCGTCTTTCTCCAACCAGGAGTACGCAAACTTATATTTTCCTATTTTGCCTTTTGTTTTGCTCTACGGTTTCGCTACATGTGGAGAGTGTCACATTACCTTCCCGTGGTTGTCACAAATTACATGACATCAACTGGATGGAAGAGCTTGGCCGGACACGCCCCGGCCCGAACCAATTGTATGGATCGAGCACGCCGTTGTTAATATTAGGAGGAAAATAAATATATTTATGCTGTTTGAGTCAAACACTTTGGACAACACAAACTAAATTTAACGCGATTTAAACTTTTTAATAACTGTTAAGGGCCTTCATTTTCTCATAATTGATTTATCAACTTTTAAGACCCCGCAAACGCCCTGTTAATGGAAACGCTAAGATGTAGGATACACCATTTCCCCATAAGAAAAAAAATCATACTGACATCACAGGACAAAACCCTACAAAAACATCATGACTTTAAGTTACCATGCGACCTGTAAACCTTTGAACCTAAAACCTCATCAGTTTTTTAATTGTGTCAGTAGAGTGACAACGCAGAGCTGTGTCAAACAAAGCAAAACTCAGTAAATCACCTTGGCATTCGTCGTCTGCAAGCCAATAGCCAAACCCTCGAAAACGGAGTGAAGAGAGAGAGACAGGAAGAGCATGAAAGAGCGGAAGGATGAGTGCGCATGAAAATCCACATGAACGTGATGTCCACTCCCCTCCAGATCATTGACTGAGGGATGTCCATGCGCGTGTCCATTAGGTGCCGCTGGCGCGAGCAGCGGAGCCGTCTCTTCATTTCTGTGGCCCTCAGTGCAACTCAGAACCATTTTTTCCAAGATTAACACTGTAAAGAAGCCGCAAGCCATGATAAACTCTGGAAGTGGGAAGCCATCCTGGAAGATAAGGAGAAAATTCAGTGCAAGCTTATTTGTGTAGTGCTTTTACAATAATTATTGTTCCAAAGCAGCTTTTAAAAAGGTGCACGTTATTACATTACAGTCAAAATAGGACATTTTGTGGAAAAAAAGTAACTGAAGAAAAACCTCCCTTAAAAATCTCTTTTAAACTCATATTTTCTATAGGATGCTTTACATTTATAATATTTTGTCTATATACAATGTATTAATCAGTACCAAAATAACGAAGGTCACTGTCTAAACATTTGTACACCCAAATTAATATGTTAATAAACAGAAAAAAAAGAGAAACATAAAAATATAATTAAAAATACATATAATTTTAAATGTAAAAATATAATTTTTCTAAACAAGCAAAACATTGTCTTGTTTTAAGAAGTAATATGCCAATATTAAGTGAGTTTTTCCTTAAAACAAGCAACGGACAATGGGGTAAGCTAAATAATCTTATGTCAAAAGCAAAAACAAGATTATTTTGCTTATATTATTGGCAGATTATTTTATTTTTCTTTTATGGAATAAAACTAAGAAACGGATAAAAATATTTATTTTAAAAGGCGGGTGTACTTATTAATGCTACACACTGTACATTAGTTAACCTGCAGTTATACAACACACAGTTTCCTTTTTAAAAGAAACCTGCTGGAAACGTGGCAAATATGGAGTTTACTTTTTCAAAAAATAAATTAATTATATTTTAATAAACATGAAAAAATGATGAGAAACATAAAAAAATTCTCAACTTTAATTCACATTTTGTAGTTCGTAAATATATATTTTAAATGTTTTATCTTACTATTCCTAAAGATGTTAGGTGACCAAACTCTTATTTTAATGGATGTAACCGTTTACATGGCAAAAAATGCTTACTTCGATTATTTTTTTATCTGGTTTCTAATCCAAATATCTAAAATATCTTAAAAAATACATAGTCTTGTTTTTAGACATAATATGCCTAAGTTAAAGTGAGTTTTTCCTTAAAAAGGCAACTTAATCTGCCACTGGGGTAATCAAAATAATCTTACGTCAAAAGCAAAAACAAGATTATTTTGCTTACCCTATTGGCAGATTATGTCGCTTATTTAGGGAAAAACTCACTTAACTTTGGCATAGTATTTCTTAAAACAAGACAACATGTTTTGCTTGTCTATAAAATGTTTCTTTTCAAAAAATGTGTTGAAAATGTGGCAAATATGGAGATTAGTTTTTCAAAAAATAGTAAATTAAATCGTAATAAACACAAAAAATTAAAAGAAACATTAAAAACATCAAATTTAGTTGACATTTTGAAGTTTGTAAATCGTAAAATAGTTTGAACTGAAATGTTCTATATTTCTATTCCATGTTAGGTGACCAAACTCTTATTTTAATAATGTAACTGTTTACACAGCAAAAAAATGCTCTTGTTTCTAGTCCAAATATCAAGCAACATATATTGTCTTGTTTTAAGAAATAATATGCCAAAATTAAGTGAGTTTTTCCTTTAAAAAAAAAAAGCAACACAATCTGGTAAAATTATTTTACGTCAAAAGCAAAAACAACATTATTTTGCTTACTTTTCTTGATTCAAATTTTTCAGCCCAGATGTTCTAAAGCTGCGAGTGAATTCAAAGAAGCCACAGTGGAGCTCTACAAGCGCAGACTCTGACATGCTCTTCTCTTTCCAGCTACGCATCACTCTACCGAACGGTAAGAAACTGTGGCTGCTGACAGCTACTGAAGCCAACAAATACATTCAGAATTTAGACGCATAGTATTTCCCTTCTATGCCTTGGACTATGGCGTGATATAAACTACTTAGTGCGTTTTTTTATTTCCTTTGTTTTCCTCGTAAAACTCAAGTCACTTTAAAGAGTTACTACTGGATGAATATATGATTTACACTAACAGATGTTTGACTGTCGTAATTGGCAGATTTTGTTGCTTTTTTTTAAGGAAAAACTTCCTTAATATTGGCATTTTATTTTTTAAAACAAGTCAATATGTTTTGCTTGTCTATAAAAATGCTTCTTTATTTAAGAATTGTTAGATATTTAGACTAGAAACAAGTAAAAAAAATCTAAGTAAGAACATTTTTTTATGGAGTAATAAAACTGATTTGTTTAAATGCACCAAAATATATATAGTCTATATTCAATGTAAAATTGACAAAAAAATATTTATTTTCAAAAGAGAGTGTATTTGGTTATCTTATTTATGCTGAGCTCTGTAGATAAACTGCAGTTATGATACACAGTTTCCTTTTAAAAAAAAGATGTTGGAAATAATGGTGAATCTAGAGTTTAAATATGGAAAAGCATGTTTCCTTGAACTCACATCAAGGTCTCGTTTTTGAAGTTCTCCGTGTATGTCAGACAGGTAGTCTGGGATGATGTCTAATAAACAGGCGGACAGAAAGACGCCTCCTGCGAAACAGCTCACGAAACTCAGCACGGCCTTGTGGAGCTCTGCAGACAAAGAAAAACATTAATCAATGCCACGTTAAATTGATTAATGGTGCTGATTGGTGCAAATGGTGCAATTTTACTTTAATCAGCTTATCAGACAAAGTTAAACAGGTTCTGCTCTTCAAGGGGCTTTGACCCATAAGAAATAATCATCATTACTGAGCAACTGATTAGTTTACTCACAACCTAAAGTATTACTGTGAAGTCACTTCAGACTAACGGTGTAAAAAGAAACTAACCAAAGTGCTGATGATGACGTTTATTCAGCTGAACTCTGATAACGCCAGACCACATCCTATTCTGGTTTCACAAGAAAGTATTCATGACATCTCTATCTACAGCACATAAATACTGAATACGGTGTGATCAAATAAATACACTTGTTTAATATTTTACACATGTGAGTTGCCATAGACCACTATGTAGATATAATTCAACTTCAGCATCGGTATTTTTATTTGCTTGTTTAAGCATGTTTAAACACCAGTTTCACTTCCACCCTCATGCCCATCTGCTATCTAAGAGGGGAAAACCTATTGTAGACTAAAACTCTTTCCTTATCGGATTTTTTTTAACCCGTATATAAACCCATGATTTATTATTGAGGTAAAGTTGGTTTTGTATTCGCACATTCATTCAGTGGCAACTTGTGACATGCTCCCTGTTTACCATGGTACTAATAACACATGAATACACACTTGTACAGCTATCTTTATGGGGACTTCCCATACACTGCCTGACAAACTTGTTGTCGATCCCAATAACAAATAATAACTTGAGTTCTAGTTGATTATTTAAAAAAGTGGCAGATTTTTCAGATGAATCATCTGTTGAACTGCATCCCTATCATCGCAAATACTGCAGAAGACCTATTGGAACCCGCATGTATCCAAGATTTTCACAGAAATCAGTCAAGTTAGGTGAAGGAAACATCATGGTTTGGGGTCACATTCAGTATGTGGGTGTGTGAGAGATCTGCAGAGTGGATGGCAACATCAACAGCCTGAGGTATCGAGACATTTGTGTTGCCCATTACATTACAAACCACAGGAGAGGGCAAATTCTTCAGCAGGATAGCGCTCCTTCTCATACTTCAGCCTCCACTTCAACTTTCCTAAAAGCAAAGAAGGTCAAGGTGCTCCAGGATTGGTCTGCTCAGTCACCAGACATGAACATTATTGAGCATGTCTGGGTTAAGATGAAGGAGGAGGCATTGAAGATGAATCCAACCAATCTTGATAAACTCTGGGAGTCCTGCAACAGCCCTTTCTTTTCCATTCCAGATGACTTTATTAATAAGTGATTTGAGTCATTGCAGAGATGTAGATGCAGTCCTCCAAGTTCATGGGAGCCATACACATTATTCATTCTTTTTCCACTGCAGCATGACTTTATATTCTATATTGTACATTATTTCTGTTAAGTGACAAGACTTTTGTCTAAGCAAAGTCAGACCTTACTGTCCTAATTTAATAATTAAAAATCAAGGCATGATCATATTTTATTTTGGTAAAATCAGCATAATCCAGAGGCCTTTGCCTTTCATAAAAAACACTTCTGATAAAAAAAAGGATCAACAAGAAGTCAAGTTATTATTTGTTGTTCCTAAAACTTGGATAGGGGACAAGACTTTTGTCAGGTAGTGTACTGTAGATGTAATGACTGCAGACTGCACATTCTGTCCCTTTACCCCTAAACCTCATCAGAAACATTCTGCAATTTTTACTTATAAATCACTCAGATTTAAGTATTTTAAGTCGTTTTTCTCATGGGGACCAAAAAAAGGTCTCCACAAGACCAAAAATGTACTGATAGTGCTACATTTGGGGGGACATCTGGTCAGGAATACACACACAAAAAGGATCACAAAATAACAAACACAACACAAAATGTAAAAAGAAGTACACAAAAACTTGTTTTTTTAGGTTGTGAGAAGTCAACAAATGAAAGAAAACACAGAGTATACTACAATTGAGGTAAAGTTGGTTTATATTCACACATTCTGAATTTCTCCCTAATAATATTATTTCAGAAAGTTGTTGTTTGCTAATTCTGAATAGTGGAATCATATTAGCAGCCAATGACTATCAAAGTACAACATTGATTACAGTCAGATAAATAGTGCTCATGTTGATTTGAGGTCTTATATACATGTGATTTCAGACCGAATATTCAAAGTACCATGGTAAACAATATAGGGAACATATCACTGACTGAATGTGCGAATGTAAATCCACTGTTACCTAAAATATACCACAGTAAAATCATTGAGGTAAAGTTGGTTTTAAATTCACACATTTTGACTTTCTTCTTAATAATATAATTTCAGAAAAGTATTTTTTTGCAGATGTTAAATAGCTAAATCAAATTAGCAACCAATGGCTATCAACGTACAACACTGTTCACAGTCAAATAAATGGTGCTAATGTTGTTTTGAAGTCATATTTACATTTGATTTCAGACCTGAATATTCAAAGTACCAAGGTTAACAATATAGAGAGCAAGTGACAAGTTGTCACTGAACGAATGTGCGAATATAAAACCAACTTTACCTCAATTATACCACAGTAAAACCAACAACAACTGCTACACCTCAAAAATAATAAGCTAATAATTTACCTGTTCCCCCAGTGACATGAAACCATTTCATCCGCGCAGGAATGAACCCAAAAAACAGAGTTAAAAGCAGCAGGCCGACCAGAGCTCCAACTTTCACCTGAAGCAGGTAATCCATCGTGACTATAATACAACTTACTCATATAAAAATGAAACTACATGTAAATAAACAGCAGACAGAGAAGACGGGCGCCTCTGTCAAACACTATCTAATATAATACTCATAAACATTTCCATGTAGAGCGCTGTTTGTGAGTGTTAAGCCCCATAATTGTGCAGTTTATGTTAGTTTAGCGGTTCATTCTGTCAAATTTAACATATGACTGCTCGACACTTCATGTTTATCAGTCGTTCGCTCCGCCCTTTACGTCATGACGTAAATTTCCGGCTTCACGTGCTTGTACGTAGCGGCAAGGACTAATCCACATAATTTGTAAATTTATCCATAATTTTTGAAGGTATATTAGATTATATATTAGATATATTTAAACAAATGTACTATTTTTACACTATATTCTTCTTAGGAATATGTATTTGTGTATATTTAAAGATTGGTTGTTATGAGCCGCCGAACGCCCCCTGTGGGAATAACTTGGCATTTCAATGTGGAGTGTGTTTATCTCTACTGCCTCCAGTACAGTTTTGACTGCATGGCATGGATCTGCAGTTCCCGGTATGACTAAAACCGCACATGACTGCCTTGTGACTGAAAAAAAAAGATCTAGTCATATCAGCATTGTTCTTTTTAATGGTGGTTTGTGGTTGTGCATCGTGGTTTATATTACATTTATTTATTTCACAGTGGGATCTAGAATGAATGCAGATCAGTTTCAAGTAGTTTACTTTTAATATTGTGCTTACACTTTACAACAATGTTCAATTAGTTAATGTATTTAGTTATAAGGACTAAGGATGAATAAGACTTGTAGATCATATAATAATAATAATCATAGTTTGACATTTACTAAAGCATCAGAGTTGTACTGTCAGTGAGCTAACAGGAACTAACCGGGTGTTCTGACATTTTATCCCACCCATCAGATTATGCTACCACTACTGTATTTGAACAGTACTGTGGTTGGGGTTAGGTAGGTTAGGGCGATATTACAGCTTCATATCACACTATTTGACACCTGGGGATACTCATCTCAAGGCCCCAAAGACCATGCATCCCAAGTTTCCCAGAAGTTCCGGGAGTCTCCCACAAATACATAGAGCAGGGGTCACCAACATGGTGCCCACGAGCACCAGGTAGCCCACAAGGATTACATGAGTTGCTCACAGGCCTTTTCTAAAAATAGCTCACCATTGCACCACATACCAGTAAGCTGAATGTAGTATTTTTTGAAGCTATTCTTTTTAAATCACACCTGCATTGGTGTAAAATGTATTAATGATATTAAGGTATATATATATATATATATATATATATATAAACTAAAACTATTTCAGGCATATAAAGTGTTCCATATTGATGTTTTTGTTTCTTACCTTGTTAAAATTATTGTTGAGAACTATTGTGAGAAATTATTAACATGATCAGTGTCTTCACATAGATGAATATCATTAATCATTAATAATTACAACATATAATTAAAAGTAAATTGAGAAAATTTTTTATTTAAGGAGTGTGTATCAAACTGGTAGCCCTTCACAGTGATTGGTACCCAAGAATAGCTCTCAGTTTCAAAAAGGTTGGTGACCCCTGGCATAGAGACTCCCGGATGCCTGCGAATGAATGATAATCTCCCGGAAATCGCACGTCTCACGTCATCACAACCTCTTTTTAAACTTCTTTTTATTGTGGATGCCCTAAGACAGGGGTCACCAAACTTGTTCCTAGAGGGCCGGTTACCTGCAGATTTTAGCTCCAACCCTAATCAAACACACCTGAACAAGCCAATCAAGGTCTTACTAGGTATACTTGAAACATCCAGGCAGGTGTGTTGAGGCTAAACCCTGCAGGGACAACGGCCCTTCAGGACCGAGATTGGTGACCAGTACCCTGAGACATCAAACAAACAAACAAATACAAGTGTTCTAAAATGCTTTATTATAAAATATTTCTTTAATATAAAACAATCCATCGAAAAAGGCTTTAAGACCAAATGAAATCCTCTGTCAGCAGTTGCATCTGTACTCTGATGTGAGAGAAGTCTTCTTTCACTACTGTATTGTTTTTAAGCAGAGAAAACATTTTACAGGTAACTTTTATTTTAAATCTGGGACCTTATTTCAGAAATGAAAATGAGCAATAAAATGGTGTGAATCATCAGAAGCAGACCATAATAAATTAATTTGAATATATTTTGGCTGTTGTTGATATCGAGGAATTTTCAACTGTATTTTTTTTTTCCAAAGAGACTAGAAAAATTCTTTGCAGTTTTTTTTACTTTAAAACTTTAACAGATTGCTATTTTTTCCTAATGATATATGACATAATAAATTTGTATTTTAAAAATTCTTGTTTCAATTTTTTTATTGCAGTTTAGGAAATATTTTAGTACATGATAAAGAGTGGTTATTATGATGACATCTGACTAGTTAATCCAAAAAAAAAAAAATCACTAAAATGCAGTATTTAAATCTCAAAGTTAAATAGAAACTGAGCCATATAACTGCAAAAAGGTAAACTTTTTAGGAAAAAAAACCCCACCCCTTTCACCTGGCTACGGGCCTGTAAAAGCATTTGGGGAGTAACTGGTGAATTTAGCCTACATGCTGAATCCTGCGTGTTTTGCTTTTTTATAAATGAGGCAAACGCGCGGCCGCAAATAAACATGGCGACGGTCATCCCGTTTATGCCAACTGGCAAAACTTCTGTTGTTATTTTAGGGGTTGCAGACTGACAAGTTTGGCAACCCCTGGTTTAAAACACCATTTTGCTCCAACCAAAGTGATTTGAATGCACCTGACTTCATAAATATGACTTGAAAACTCTTAAATAGAATTACTTACCTACTTTTCTACTAATTTCTACTAACTTATTAATTCAGAAATAAGAGGCATGAAATCAAAATCCAACCCAAACTTCTGCAGACCCAATTGCAAACACTGTAAATGATTTGTTGTAGAATCTTGGCAGCGGTTCGCCTCCCTGTAAATCAGTCACAGCCTATATATATATATATATATATATATATATATATATATATATATATATATATATATATATATATATATACATACACACACACACACACACACACACACACACACACACACACATATACACATATTTCGAGCTCACTGTTCAGTTCTGTCTGAAGTTATTCTATATTGTGAGTGCTTTACACAAATAAGAATAAAAGAAACAAAAAAAACAACAACAAGTATAAATAGTAAAAAACGATTAAAATGTGTTTAAAATCAGATATATAAATGAGAAAACATCTTAGACTGGCAACTGGTGCTAATTTCCTTCATTATCTGACAAATCCTGTCTGACTGGCAGCCTCACGTTACAGTTTTCCTCTTATTATTTTAATATAGGTTATGTGCCTTTATGTTTATTAAAACAATAAAACAATTAATGCATATGCTAATATAATACGTATGAAAAAATGTATTTTACAAAACATGTCTCAGCTTAAAGTTGACAGAAAAACATATGCTAAATATCTGAATAAATAATATTCCATATTTAAAGTTGATATCCAAAACAAAAAAAATAGCTTAAGATTTTGTTTGGCCGCAGTACCAGACATGACCACCAGGTGACCTCCAGTTTCCATTGGTGAACATACAAAGGCGCCCCCTATGTTTTGAGGAATATGAATAGTATTTTTTCATACTTTTGACAATATTTGTAAAGTAGACATGAAATTCTCAAGTGGTGTCAGTTTGATACTAGTAAGTGTGATGGTATTTCAGTTGAATCTAGCCTCTATGAAAACATGACTGAAAGAAAAACGCATAAGAGGAGAATCTAAATGGTCAGTCAGTTGAAATGGATCATCAGTTCAGCTCTGATCAGAGTATCTAAATCTATATAGATCTATATATATCTCTACATTTAGGAGAATTTAGACTGAAAGCCCTGCAGTGACCAAACCATCATTAGCTAAAACAATCAAAAGAACAGATTAACAGGGACAGGGAACCGATCCAAAGTTCACTGTAGTGATGAAAGCACATTTTGGGTTTGATGGGATCACGTTTTACACTAAAAATATCCATAAATTAGCAGTTTTCTGTTATTTGTGATTTATGTTTTTATTTTTCCCCATTTTTTTATGTTTTTGAATTGCATTATGAGAGCTTGATTGTCCTTCCAATGCTTTTAACCTTGAAAAGTTTTTAATCTACTTTTAATAGATTAAAGTGATATACTGTTTTGGCTGGTGTTGCATATTACAGTACAAAATCCTTGTAAACAACTGCCAATAGATGTTCTGTTATTTTACAGACTTATTTCTCTATGTATTATTTTTTATACATTATATTATTTTACCCTACAAAAAATGTCAATAAACGTCACTTTGTTGAACTGTAGAGTAGAATTTTGATTGAATTTTTGATAAGAGTTAATAAACAAATACTATAGTAGTGATAAAGGGGCTGGCTCCAGGAAATCTAGATATTTACTGACTGCAATGCTAAATTGGTTTACAGCTACTATAACCCTTCATGATAACTGTGAGGGGGGTTAATTTTTTTGATAACTCATCTGTTATGTTTTTTATTAAGTTTTATTAAGTCTGCATAATTAAGGGTGTGGCCACTTGAGTGACAGCTTGGTCTCGCTGCTTGCTGTCTCCTCACCTCAGCTGATTCCGGCTGATTAGCTGCTGAACTCTGTATATACATCGTATTTTAGTTATCAGATTATATGGCATGCTGTGTTCACTTAATTGCAGGCCCGGATTGGCTAATCGGGAGGACCGGGAGAATTCCTGGTGGGCCAGTCCGTTTTTTGGCCGCGAGGGCCGGTGTCCCTAGCTCCAGAATCTGTTGCTCTCAGCAGTCACACTTTTTAAATTAATTTATTTATTCACTTGACCACAGTCTTTTTATTCATTATTTTACCAGCTCTACTCTTTTTATCTATTTTCTCGCAGCCTCGTGGGCATCAGTCTGCAGGTTAATGATGATACAACTCAGATGAGTCACTTCTCACTGTACAGCTGTTTTAGTCCAGTGGTTAGCACGTTAGGTTACGACGACACCGACCCGGGTTTGATCCTCGTCTGAGTAATTTATTTTTTTCATTTTTATTGTTTAGACATATAATACTGTAAGGGTTGTTGAACATTTGAAGTTCTAAAGCAGCTGTTTTCTCAAAAAAAGACGTGATAGTGTCATTAGAATCTGA